GCGAAGGAGGACTGAGCGATAATTCGAAAAGACCATTTGTGGGACGGAGAAATTCCTTCCGYATTTTATGATTTTTAATACAAATGTAGTAAATATGTAGCTTAAAGCATAGATGTAATTGTTTTTTGGTAAAAATCAGCGATAAATTGTAAGTCAAGTAGGCATAGTAATAAAAGCATTTCAAATTTTGAGTTAAATTATTCAATTCCAAGTTGAACACTCAATGTACAATTTTAAGAAAATTGTTGACTGMATCATCCGAGATAACTGAGATATAATAGTTGTTTTTAACGGGCTCAAAGCCTTCATATGACGTTTGAGTTGCAAAACGGGCGCTCGTAATATCGAGGTTTTATTTGCGTGAGTTACAAAACCTCTGATAAATCGACCGTGGCATCTRCTCACAGATKTGAYATCAAGGAATATTTCCATAGTAACTTGCCACAATAAAATGACGTCAGTGGAYATTTCCATAGCGATTATTTACAACGGTATGACGTCAATAGATATTTCCATAGCAACTAGATACAAAAGATTACATTCTTTGTTGAAAGCCACGCCCRTTCCCTTGATAACCACCACCTCTATTCATGCCACGCCCTCCGGGACCACCTCGCAGTCCACCACGAGGTCCACCCCTACCGGACATTCCGCCTCTCGAACCTCCACGTGTGTTTCCGCCCCTACCGGAGTTTTCACCTCCCTTGTTTTTTCCTACCGGGGATTTAGGCCGTAGAGACTCGATTTCAGATGTTGAGCCGACGAGATAGTCATCTGAGCCGTTAGTAAAGTATGATTTGTAAGTCTCGCTTGAAAAGTTTGAGCTGGTTAAATTTGGGCCAACGGTTAACCATCCTATCATCAAATAACATTATGGAATTATTCGACATTTACAGATAAAAAGAATCATCTTTAGTTTGAAAGTAATGTAGAATGAAAGCACTTCTAATACTAGAGCTATTTCATTCCCAATTACCTGGCCGAAGTGTACTATCGTCTCCAAACAAATGCAATCGTCTTCTTCCAAGACAAAAATGTTCAGCAATGTGAAATATTTCCGTTGGTTTTTCTAAGCTTCCTCCGGGTGGCTGAAAGACATAAATGCATGGGCAAATAAATAGATAAACAAATGAATTGATGAACAAATATATGGATGAACAAATGAGTGGATCCACAAATAAATGGATGGACAAATGGATGGATGAATAAATGAATGGATGAACAAATGAATGGATGAGCAAATGAATGGATGAACAAATGAATGGATGAACAAATGAATGGATGGACAAATGGATGGATGAATAAATGAATGGATGAATAAATGAATGGATGAACAAATGAATGCCTGAACAAATGAATTATTTGTACAAACGTTTTAACATGCTAGTACAATTTAAGGTGTACAATAAAAGTAAGCATACCTCTTCTGTAATAATAAGATCAATATCAACATTCGCATGTATAAAGTCACCATCTGTACTTCTTCTAACTGTCCCTTTAATACCCATTAAACAGTGTTCTTTTGTGTGCTGAAATATCGCATTAGGTTCGAGATACTTGACATTCCCTGGGTTGGTTTTATTCGTTTTGATCCAACATATGTCCTCGCAGCGACGAAACCCCCACTTCTTTAAACACTTATAATGGAAAGCAGAAAAACCAATAGTTGAGGATTGAAAGGTATTCCTTTTTTTTTTGCAAGGTATTTCTAAAATAGCCTTTGAGCCGATTTTCAATGCTGAAGGAACGCAGGGATGGAAAAACGTCACTGTTACGATCGCATAAATGGTTCGCTTTTTTCCTTCTCTACGTAACTGCACTATTGGCCAGACTATTGAAAATGTGATTTCATAGTTTACACACGGGGTCTGTTCCTCTAAATAACTGTTCTTGTACGATTTTTTTCCTGGGAAAGCTTAATGCTCACAAATCTTACCTTTCTACCTTCAGTCAGTCCCTCATGGGAGCCACACCATAGAAAGATAAAAGACCGTTGTGCAGCTACCTCCTCTACGTCCAGTTTCATTATCTACAGCATGTTAAAAAAGTTAGTACACTTTCATATTTAATAATTTGAAAAGAAATATTTGTAAGATGAGAATATCCCAAATTCAATTCAACATATACAGGGAAAATGGAGAAAACGTCTACCTCATCCCAGCTCCAAGGTTTCCAGTTAAATGAGACTCCAGCATCTCTTCTCTGGTATTCCTCTAGAGGGGGGTCAATTAAAATCACGTCAAACTTGCAGTCCAGTTCAGCAACATCATAAGTCATAAGGTCAGCCCTCAGATACCTGAGCAAATCACATAGAAACATATTATAAACATATTATAGATCTCTTTAATGAAAAACTCCATATCCTTGAGATCAAATGTTTTTCTTCCAAGTGAAATGAAGAAAACAATGTATTGTATTTATTGGAAAATTTACTAAACAAAATTGATTGAGTGGTGCAAGAAATGAGCTAATAATATACAGACTACAAAAAAATCTATGTGTTGGGACAGGAAGCCCAACAAAGGGAGTGCTGCACAGGAGTCTGCCTGGACAGGACATTTTAAAGTAAATACAGTTGAATAAACTTACATTGGAGGTGTAGCTCTTTTAGCGATTATCTCATCTTTAAGTCTGATAAGCTCTCGTAATTTAGGATATTCTTCAAATCTATCAGCTAGACCTAGAATTGGAAAAAAGTCATTGATTCATATGGTAAGATCATCATCAACACTTGCGATTCTATCATTTTCATATTGTTGTAATGATTCAGGTCGAAACTTCAAGTTRTAATCCCAATTTGATTGACAGGTATTATCTCACCAACATCTCTGATAAAGTTATGAGGTCTTTGTCCAGTATCAACAAAATGTTGACAGTAGTCGTTATGTGGATTTGCACTCTGGGTTCCCTGTGGAAAATATTTGGAAAGTTCAAGAAACATTTGGAAAAATATGAGAGGCTAAAAAGTTTTCAGCAAATTGTATATTTGAAATAGAGGTTAATATAAAAATCATAATCATACTATACAGCCTGGGATAGTGGAGGATCGAGCAGAAATTCCACTTTGTCCTCCAAGGTCTCCTTGGGGCCACAATGCAGGCTATAATCAATGAAATGCTGGTACCTTTAGAAAATGACTAGAGTCTTTGTACTCCTCTTCCACAGTTTCATATTCATCATCAACACCCTAATGAATAACATTGTCAAGTTATACACTTGTTTATACATTTATAAAAACACTATTGTAATGTTTGAAAACTACAAAATGTTACCTCTTCCTCAACATCCTTTGACTGCACAACCTGCAAACACAGAAAAGATGATCAAACTAAAACCTATGATRGGTATTTTTGTTTKGSAWTKKWWTTWRKTTTTWRGKTWRKWAMCMARGKYYKGRWWAMMMMAAAWKGKTTKKWWTTKGKWAAAWTTYCCMA